TGGAAACCATGTGACTTGTAAAAGGATTTGTTACTCATTCACTAGAGTTATTCAATTTCTCACCTTCTAGGAACTATACCAAAAAGGCTTTTTAGATGACTAGTAACTGTACCTCTTTACTTTTTCACTGAGTGTAACTTATTTAACCTGATATACTCAGAAATGGTTGGAAAAATTAAAATATTAATTTGAATGTATATTTGCCAATTTAGTATTTTAAAATAAATATTTCTGTTTCTTCTTGAGCTTTAAATAGTTTTTCATCAAAAGCTTTTGATGTTACTGATCAGAGTTTATTCGATTTACAGAAAATGCCCACTATATAATCTAACTGGCAGTCAGTCCTCTTCATCATAAAAAAAAAAAGTCAAATGAGACTTATTTTGTTTTAAAAAGTCTGACTTTTTTTTCAGTTCAAATAAAAATGTATTAATGCCTTCCTTGTAACAACTATCTCAATTCTGCATTCTCATTCTAAGATAGATGAGGCTGAGCCTTGCCATGAATTTGTTGCCTAGATGAAATAAGGCACTGCCACCCTCCATATTTCTTACCACAGTTCTCATTGCTTTGTTCTCATGGACCTGTTTCTCAGAAGCAGAAAAAGACACAAGACTTTGACTAAAGGAAGCTTCCTCAACATCTACTTGTTTTAAACAAGTAAAGAAATTGATAGAATTGTACACAAATGTCCATATCCTTGACACCTAGATTCTACAATTGGCATTTTGCCGTGTTCACTTTAATACCGCTTTTTCTGTCTACCCATTGCTCTATCCATTGTTGGGGTAGAAGACCTACCTTTGCCTTATGGTCCTTCTAAGTGGACTTAGAATCAAATTGTCATGAGACAGATTGCCAGGAGAAAACCAAATTTAACAGACGTATGTATAGTAAACCTACAGACCTGAAAATTCCAAAGACAGTGAGGCAACATGAAGCTTATGTGAACTAAGGAGAGGTCTGAGGATACAAAGAGAAGGCCATTAGCAGGAAGGTGAAGGGAGATGTTTAGAAAAGCAAGGTTGTTCTATTATGCAGTTAAGTTCCTTACGTAAAGGGGAGTCCCTGTTAATAGCATTCTTCCTGGGGCACCTGGGTGGGTTGGTTGGTTGGGCCTCTGTCTTCAGCTCAGGTCGAGATCCAGGAGTCCCAGGATCAGCCGCAGCGGGCTCCCCGCTGGCGGGGAGCCTGCTTCTCTCTCTGCTCCTCCCCCTACTTGTGTACTCTCTCTCACTTTTGTTCTTGCTCTATAGATAAATGAAATTTTAATTTTTTAAAAAAGATTGATTTTATTTATTTGACAGTGACAGATACAATGAGAAAGGGAACACAAGCAGGGAGAGTGGGAGAGGGAGATGCAGGCTTCCCGCTGAGCAAGGAGCCTGATACTGGGCTTGATCCCAGTGACCTGAGCTGAAGGCAGATATGTAATGGCTGAGCCACCCAGGAGCCCATAAATGGAATCTTAAAAAAAAAAACAAAAACAAAAAACCACACAAAACTCTCTTCCTGGTACAGGCTCTGCTTCCCAATGTAAATTTAGGCCATTTGGGGGGACCTAGAGAGCTTTTCCTGCATCTCCTTTTGATTACTTTTAACTCAAAATAATCTTTATGCCAAAGTGGCCCATCTGGGGGCAGCCTGCCCTGGACCCCTGTACCTTCCATTAACCCATGTTATGTTTTTATGCATTTTGAAGTAAGTTTCAGACATTGGTACACTTCACTCCTGAAAACTTCAACATGCATATTTGCTCTTGTGTTTTTTTGTTTGAAGTAGGCAGTCTTCATTCCCACCCCAGAAGCAACCACTCTTCTGACTGTTCATATTCCCTGTTCTGTAATTTCATAGAAGTATAGTATGTACACTTTTAACAGCAATATTTTTATTTGTCCCCTTGGCTCACCAAACGTTTTATATTTAGGGGCATGAACAATACTAAGGTTCAGACTGGGGAAAAGGAATATAGGCGTTTGTGAAAGGAAAGGAGGAAATGGAGACCCGGAGTGAGGCCACCACATAAGCATTCTGAAACATTTCTTTTAGGAAAGAATAGATATGGCAACTGAGGATCTAGAAATTAATTTCTTCAAAGCTGTCCATACTCTTAAACACCTTAAAAGTCTTCACATACCTTCAGGGAATATACACCCTAGACTGAAGATCACTGTCCTAGACAAGGTGCATAAAGAACAACTGTAAAAGAAAAAGAATTAGTAAATTTGATTGTGTTAAAGATTCAAACTTTTACATAAGAATAGACACCATAAACAAAGAGAAGAGACAAGATATTTACAACATGTAAGAAATACGTAATTAGCATCCAGAATAAAACGACCTGCTTCTTGGGGTGCCTGGGTGGCTCAGTCAGAAGAGCATGAGACTCTTGATCTTGGGGTTTTTAGTTCAAGCCCTATGTTGAGTGTAGAGGTGACTAAATAAAACTTAAAAAAAACTGCTTTTTTAAAAAGATTTTATTTATTTATTTGACAGAGAGAGAGAGAGATCACAAGTAGGCAGAGAGGCAGGCAGAGAGAGAGGGGGAAGCAGGCTCCCCGCTGAGCAGAGAGCCCAATGAGGGGCTTGATCTCAGGACTCTGAGACCATGACCTGAGATGAAGGCAGAGGCTTAACCCACTGAGCCACCCAGGTGCCCCAAGACCTGCTTTTTTTTTTAATTAAAGATTTTATTTATTTATTTGACAGACAGAGATCACAAGTAGGCAGAGAGGCAGGCAGAGAGAGAGGAGGAAGCAGGCTCTCCGTGGAGCCGAGAGCCCGATGTGGGGCTCGATCCCAGGATCCTGGGATCATGACCCATGACCCAAGCCGAACGCAGAGACTTAACCCACTGAGCCACCCAGACGCCCCAAGACGTGCTTTTTTAAAAAAAGTTTTATTTATTTATTTATTTGAGAGAAAGCGTGCTTGTGGGGAGGGAGAGACAGAATCTCAAGCAGATTCCCTACTGTGCACAGAGCCCTGTGTAGGGCTCTATCTCTTGATCCATGAGATAACGACCTGAGCTGAAACCAAGAGTCAGATACCCGACCCACTGAGCCACCCAGGTGTCCTGAGATCTGCTTCATAAAGAAAAAAGATTAAAGACAAACAGCTTAACAGAAAAATGAACAAAAGATAAAAGTAGATAATACATACAGTAAAATATAGCTAATATGAAAATATGTTTATGGTGCCTGGCTGGCTCAGCTGGAAGAACGTGTGACGCTTGATCTCAGCGTGGGGAATTAAAGACCCACATTGGGTGTAGAGATTACTTAAACTTTAAAAAAAAAGAAAATACATCCAGTTTCACTAGTAATCAGAGATATGCAGATTAAAATAATAAAAACCCAAGAGAAATGAAAACATATATATGCAAAAATACTTGCCAAGAATGTTCATAACAGCCTTATTCACAATAGCCCCAAACTGAAAAGAGACTAGGTGTCTATCACCAGAAAAATGGATCAACAAACTGTGTCATATTTATACAATGGAATTCTACTTAGTGACAATAAGGACCAAACTAGGGGTGCGTTGGTGGCTCAGTTGGTAGAAGCATCTGCTTTCTGCTCAGATCGTGGTCCTGGGGTCCTGGGATGGAGTTCCACTTTGGGCTCTCTGCTCAGTGGAAAGCCTCCTTCTCCCTCTCCCTCTGCTGCTCCCCTGCTTGTGCCTTCTCGCTCTCTCTCTCAAATAAATGAAGTCTTAAAAAAAACAAACTAGTGATAGAGGCAGCCACATGTATTAATCTCAAAAACATGCTGAGTGAAAGAAATTGTCCACCAAAAAAGTGCATATTGTGTCTAGAAGAGACAAAACTAATCATGAAAAAACCAATCAGAGCAGTGGTTACCTGGTGGAAGTGGGAGCAGGGGTTGGCCTGGAGGGGAATTAGGGAGCTTTCTAGGGGTGATGGTAATGTTCGATATTTTTATAGAGGTCTGGCTTACATGTGTGTGTGCATTTGTTAGAACTCAGCAAATATATATTGATGGTTTGGGCATTCTACTGTGTATATATTTTACCTTAAAAATAGGAGAAGAGTAAATGAAACAAGTTGGGATTGGGAGGGAGACAAACCATAAGTGACTCTTAATCTCACAAAACAAACTGAGGGTTGCTGGGGGGAGGGGGGTTGGGAGACGGGGGGGTGGGGTTATGGACATTGGGTAGGGTATGTGCTATGGTGAGTGCTGTGAAGTGTGTAAACCTGGAGATTCACAGACCTGTAACCCTGGGGGGGAAAAATATATGTTTATAAAAAATAAAATTAAAAAAAAAATCTGTAAGCAAATGTTGAACTCTCGTAAACGATATGCATGCTGAAGTGTTTAGAGGTGAAGTATAAAGATGTTTGCAATTTACTTTCAAATACATAACAGAATATGATAAAGGGATGGATAGATACATGATAAAGTAAATATGACAAAATGTTCATGTAGCTACCACCCGAGTTCACTGCATAATTTTTTAAACTTTATGTTTAAATTTCTTTTCGTAATACAGTGTTAGGAAAAAAGCAGTAATGAGATACTGTCTTACACCCATCATTGGCAGAAACAAGAACTGATAGTGTTCTGTGAAGATGTGGTAAAATATGGTGGAAGTAGAAACTGGTATGACCACCTTGGAGAGTAATATAACAATATCGAATAAAGCTAAAAATGCTCATATTTTATGACTTAGAAATTCCACTTCTAGCATATAACCTATAGTTTCATGTGCCCAGCCAGATATGTGCAAAATATTCTTTGCAGCATGGTTCCTCCCCTAATTTTTTATTTTGAAATAGTTTAAGATATTAAGTTGTAAGAATCATACAACGAATACCTATATACCCTTTATAAATTGTTAGCATGTTGCCACATTTGCTTTATCTATGTGTAAATATACATTATTTTTTTTTCCTGAATCACTTGAGAGTAAATTGCATGGATTCCCTGAATACTTCAGCATGTATTTCCTTGTTTTTTTTTTAAATAAAGACCTTTAAAAATATGAAATGCTTCACGAATTTGCACGTCATTCTTGTGCAGAGGCCAAGCTCAATCTTCTCTGTATCGTTCCAATTTTAGTATACGTGCTGCTGAAGTGAGCACAGCATGTGTTTCTTAAAGCAGAAGCATTCTTCTACATAACCACAATACGATGATCCCACTCAGGACATTTTAACATTAATTATAACACTATTATCTGATTTATAACCCATATTCAGATATCTCTAATTACTGTAATCATGTCTTTTAGAGGTGTTTAAAACTTCATCGAGAATCCACTCAAATGTCACAGATTGTATTTAGTTGTCACTTCATTTAGTCTCCAGTAAAGTTCCACAGCCGCCTTCTTGGTGCCTTTCGGGACATTGACTTTTGAAGAGCCTAGGCAAATTGCTTTGTGGCATGTCCTTTCGTTTGGATTTGCAACATTTTAGAAAAGGGAGCCAATTAGATTCTAAGCCCCTCAGTTAGTGTCAGAAACAGCAACAGCTTCCACTGGGTAGAAGGAGCAGACCTTGTCAGTGGAATCAACTGTAGCAACCAGTTATGCTTTGGATATAATCACAGCTTGGCTGTGTGGAATGGCTCAAGGCTTGTCAAGCTTACACAGGAGACAAGGCCTGACCGATCTGGCTGGTAAAAAGACAGCAAGTCACTTCGAGACTTAGACATTTTAGTAAGTAGACAGCACAAAGAAAAGTAAGCCTAAGTTGCCTGCTCGCCATGATCCTTGTTCCACATACTAAAAAGGACAACACCGAAACAACTGTGTTCCAGTATTGCAGAGGAGCCCATTCTAGGCTGCCACTAAGGGGTTTTATATTCTGCAGCTCTATTCCAAAGGCACAGGAGAGAGAGCTTCATATCCCATCAAAACCAGGGAGGTAATGAGAAACTGCCTCATGACAGCCTCCCAGGAAATATAGGGAGTTGACTGGGAGACAACCTCCTTACAGACCTCCTGTGCTCTTGTGTTTCAGGAGGCTCACAAGGCATTCCACCACAACTCAGATAGTTCAAGCCTTTGCCTGTGTGGATATGTGCAACGTCACCACAGGAGAGCTATTTCCGTAATAAGGCTATTTCTCTATTGACAATGACTAGAAACAGTAACAGCAGTGGCCTTGAGTGAATGAATACAAGGACTCAGGCCTCTCTTGCATGATCTGGCATTGACCTGGATCAATCATGATTTGGAGGAAATCCAAGTTCAGATTTTTTAGGTAACTGGATATATTAGGTTAGTTCCTAGAATCTTTATGTTGTCCTAGAAATAGATTCACTTCCCTTTGCCACACTGCCAAGGGAGAGAAGGGATTAGTGGTAGTTCACAAGTTTGGCTACTATGTCAATTGCAGTACATTTTACTTTTTATTATTTTGTCCTTTGTAGAGCAGAGGCTCCATTTTCTAAATTCTTTGGGTTTTCTTTAGAAATTCCTAAGCAAAGCTCTCTGTGTTAAGGAAAGAGCTCTTAACTGGTGTTTGGCTCTAAATTATAGTCGCAGCAAGGTTTCTGTCCAGAGAAAGAGCTCACTAAGTCAACACTTCTACTTCAGGATGGTGTCTGAACAAGGCCCATTTCTGTTTGGGTATGCCGCATGTTACAAGGCATTAAGAAAAATTAAGACTAACATTCAGAAAGTCAATAACCCACAGGAAGCCTGTGGACTATTTTCAACATAACATATTAGAAGCCTGAGAAAATGTATGCCAATGATTAAAAATACTAGGCACTTGGGACATAAAATATGCAGCTGGGTTAGTTGGCAAAGTCAAAGAGGCTATTGTAAGAAGGGGAAAGGCATCTTTCAAAAAATGGAAATAATAGTTTCTAATGAGGAAAAAAGGGAAATCTGGAAAAATATGGCAGCTCAGATACAAAGTAGAAATTACGTGGGCTAAAAGAGAATGAGGAGTTCTTTGCCAGGGACTCTAAAGCTTCTCTGTGAAATGTATCCGGGAGAAAGCCAGCTAGAGAAGCAGTGGGATTACAAGGATTAAAGAGGGATTTGACGTGTGGCAGGAGCCTGGGAGGTGGGGGTTTCAGGTTGCTGGTGGCTTAAATGAGAGGGCTCTAGCAAAGCTTTGGGTGAGGCTCTGGAGAGGTGACTGAGGAAGAGAAGTTTTAGCTTTCTCTCTGTCTCAGTGTCTTCTTCCCTCCTCCTACTTCATTCTCTCCCTGGATCTGCCTCATCTTGCTCCTCTTTGACTTGAATGTTCCTTTTCTGCTTCTCTGTGACCGGATCTTGGTCATTTCCAAATTTTGGTGCCTAACGGAGACAGCAGAATGCTTTGGATTGGTCTCACTCTATAGGCACACACGTTCTCACCTAAGATCGGTACTAACAGATGTCTGCACCTAAGTAGCTCTGATTAGGAAGAGGGGAGGGATGAAGAGTGGCCTCAAGGTCCTTTGCTACTTCCACTGGTTTTTGGAGAGGGTAGACAACCTGGTCACCCTTGACCTAGTAGGGTTTAGCTAGGGGATCCTGACACCTGGTGGTTACACTTGGGAGGTGCAGAGGAGTTCTTCATAGCCCCACCCCTTCACCATTTACTTACCATTTATTGAGCTATTAGCATGATACGAATCATCTCATTTAAAACACACAACAACCCTCTGAAGTATCATTATTTTAACTTGACATGTGAGTTATTTATGTTAAGTAATTGTGAACTGATTTAAGCAATGGGATAAGGGATTTTTTTTTCTTTACTCAGCTCTTGGGGCGGTGCCTGCCACATAGTAGGTTCTCAGGAAATATTTGTTGAAATAACATTTTGTGTGACACCTGGGTGGCTCGGGCAGTTAAATGGCTGCCTTTGGCTCAGGTCACGATCCCAAGATCCCTGGGTCCTGGGATTGAGCCCTGTGTCAGGCTCCCTGCTCATCCAAAGCCTGCTTCTCCCTCTCCCTCTACGTGCACCCCCCACATTCTCTTTCTCTCTCAAATAATAAAATCTTTAAAAAAGGTATTTTGTACTTATCAAAATCATGAAACGTTGATTCAGAAGACAGTACCTTTGTAATAGAATTGATGTGGGGGTGTCTGGGTGGCTCATTCTGTTAAGCATCCAACTCTTGATTTCAGCTCAGGCCTTGATTTCAGGGTTATGAGTTCAAGCTGCATGCTGGGCTCCATGCTGGGCATGGAGCTTGCTTTAAAAAAATTGATGTGAGTGCAGTACTGCCAGACAGATAAGCCTAGACTCGGTCTGCTGCAACTCTTGCTTAAATGCTCTTTCCCAGAAATCTTCCTGCCTCAGATACTTGGAGACCAAGTCTGCTGCTGAGAAAAATTCAAATCTATTGAAACTCTACTCACCTACAGTCATCCTAGATTCTATCCTGGACACCATAAGGCCAAGTTTCTGTTCAAATGCGGCCATTTCATATTGAGAAACCACCAGAAAAATCACAAGATGGTGCCAAGATGGATGTTTGCTGAAGATGTCTGGGATGATGGTCAGTTTGTTAGAGAGGAAGACTGTGAGTGAAGTGGCAACATTCAGTGAATGACAGGGAGAGGGAGAGAGAGACTGACCAGTAGTTGTTAGATGACCACAATGAAGAAGAGAAAATGAGTGAATGATATGAACCTCAAGGAAGCAATGTTGGAAGTGTTATGGCTTAGAAGTAGTGATGAAGTAGTAGGAGAATGTCAACCCTGTCTCTAGGTCCTGTGATATGTGGAGATGCAGGGGAAGTAGTGTCTTGAGGGGAAAACCATGTTTCATTTAAGGCTGGAAAATGAGAGTTTCCATGGAGGAGAGTTTGTCTATCCTTTTTAAAAGATTTTATTTATTTATTTATTTGAGAGAGAGCAAGGGAGAGGGAGAGCAGGAGTGGGGTGAAGGGCAGAGGGAGAAGCAGACTCCCTGCCGAGCAGGGAGCCTGATGCCGGGCTCGATCCCCGACTCCAGGACCACGACCCAAGCCCAAGGCAGACATCCAACAGACTGAGCCACCCAGGCACCCCAAGTTTGTCTGTCTTTGAATGAGAATTCTCTAGGGCCAACTGGAAAGGTCTGGGAGGGAAAGGTGCCGTGGGAATTTGGGTGGGTGAGAAAGCAGAGAGCAGTGTGGAAACAGACTATACTATCAGAGGGGTTTCATCTTGGATAGTGGCCAAATATGGTAGAATATAAAGAAGAGGGGTATTAGCTTCCCTCAAAGCTAAGACAGGAGACTGGGACATTTGGAGTCATTATTTTGAGACTCATAAGGGAGTTGCAGAGATAAATTCAAAGCCATCTGAGTGATTAAACCTGGCAGGTAGAAAAGAGAGAGAGCAGAAGGTGAGTCGTGCCTCGAAATGGCTGAAGAGTGAAAGCCTCTACACATTGGCTGACATCATGTGAAAAAGAAGAGTGTTTTCAGAAGTCAGTAAGGTGCCTCACAAGAAATGCTATACTCTTAGGCCCCAAACTTTAGTGGGCTGCTTGTTTTCTGATTTCAACATCTCTTTGGATGACAGCTTTCTGAAATTTCTTGGCAGGCTCTTGTTAATTCCTTTTTTTTTCTTTTAAGATTATTTATTTGAGAAAGAGAGTGGGAGGAGGGACAGAGGGTGAGAGAGAGGCAAGGGATGCCCCACTGAGCATGAGGTTCTGTCTCACAACCCCGAGATCATGACCTGAGCTGAAATCAGTAGTCAGACATTTAACCAACTGAGCCACCCAGGCACCCCTCTTGGTACTTCTTTTAGATCATTCTTCTTGATCCTCCTAGAATTCATTAAGCTGTGTGTTCCTTGAGACCACGGATCAACCATGTCTGTCTCTCAGATGCCCCTCTATTTCTGTCTCTGCCCATTTGACACGTTTTCATAATGGGAATAAAGGAAGTGAAGCATTTGAAGATCAGAGATTTTGAGGTGGAGAAGAGGGAAATTGAGGAAGCATATGTTGATGTCCTCATTTCCTGTACAATGGAAAGCATGGTCAATGGCTGAAGGTGATGGGGGTAATTCTTTTTTCGTTAAGATTTTATTTATTTGTCAGAGAGAGACACAGTGAGAGAGGGAACACAAGCAGGGGGAGTGGAAGAGGGAGAAGCAGGCTTCCCGCTGAGCAGGGAGCCCGATGCGGGGCTCAATC